CTACTACTAGTATTATTAGTATTATTATTGCTACTATTATTATTGTTGTTGTTATTGTTACTAATGTTATTGTTTATAATTTGTACAATTAACCTCCCTGTGGTTCGACCCCGGTCTTGCCAGGTTATTTATTACTTCGACACTCCTGCACTTAGGAGAAGACATTAATCTTTTAGTCGTGTCACTATGCACATCTTGCATGGCGAGGAAAGAAATGAAGGAAAAAAAAAAAAGGGCGAAGGGTTTACCTAGAACAATGGCGACGCTGACGACAACTGATGGCAGGGGTGGTGGTTGCTTGGGGGGCACGGTGGTGACAACGCCTATGTTTTTCTTCTTTCTCTTTCTTCTCTATTTTTTGTTCTCTTTTGTGCTTCCTTTTCTTGTTTTTTTTTTCTTTTGGTCTTTCTCTTCTCTTATCTACTCTCTTCTCTCCCTTTTACTGCCCCACTTTTTTTATGCCTCTTCTCTGCCTCTATATTTATAGGCAGAGAAGGGCGGTAAAATGGTTAGGGTAACCACTGTGCTGCTGCCATAGAATCGCCTTAGGATGCATCCCCTCTTCTTCCACCATGTGGCAAGCAAGTGGGGAGTTTTGTCGGTGTTTTTATGGTGGTTTCAAAGAAAAAAGGAACGGGCAAAGTAGGGAAGAAAATTTTTCTTCATCCCCTATTCTCTGCGCGTTCAGGGGAGGAAGAAGACATATGGTACCCTTTAAATTGACACCATTTTTGCTTCTTTGTTTTTTTTATTTGAAATTTATAAAACAGTGTCATTTTTCTCAAAACACATTGTTTCATTTAAGTGGGAATTGGCGCCAAAACTCGTCAGATTCAAAATCAAGCCTTTAATTTGCACACTTTTTGCATTTTGGTCTTTGGTTTTGAATTTATTTAATTAAGTCCCTAATTGGCCATCAAACTTCAATATTTGTGCAATGAAGCCCCTGATTTGACCAAATTAACTCTTAAAAATTATAATTTGACCCTAGAATTTTAATTTCTTTTAATTAAAACCTAAATTAGCTCCAAAACTGATTTTCTTGCAATTAAAACCTCCATATATTCAATTAAACCTTTAATAAAATTTAATTGAATCCATAAACATCTGATTTTGTCATTTTCTTTCTTAAATTAATTTTTTTTGTCAACAGTGCTCTTATCAGTCAACAAAATACTATTAAATTTTAATGTTTATATTTTTGAACCTCCTTAACCAATTTTTAACCATTTTCTAAGCACTCTAGCTTCCCATTTGCACTGCTCTTATTTTTTTTATTTCTTTCAAACATATATATATATATATATATATATATTTGTATTTTCTTTTTTGTGCGAGGGCCCAAAAATGAGTTATGACAATGTTGGTAATAAAAAACTTAGAGACTAAATAAAATGATCTATAGTAATCCATAGTATTTTGTGAGGAAAGATATAGTGTTTTCACCACATGATTTAGTTTTTCTGTTAATAAAAAGTAAAAAAAAAATTACAAAGCTAAATTATCTACTAACTAAATATTAAAAAAATATAATTGAAAAATATAATTTTGAAAAGAAAACCTCATGAGGAAATTCGTTATAGTAATTGATAATGTTTTGTGAGTAAAACTACAATGCTTTCCCTGATAAAATAAACAAAAACAATTATAGAAAAAAATATTTAGATAAATATTATAGTAATTTGTAGTGTTTTATGAGAAAAACAATAATTTTTTTCTATATAATTTATTTTTATTGTAATTATAATTCTTAACCAAACAAAAAAAATCAATGAAGTTGATTTTGAACAAAATCCTGAAAAACAAAATCATGTGGGAAAACATTACAACAATTCATGGTGTTTTAAAGAAAGCAAACTATAAAACTAAATTCTCAATCAGTTCAATATTAAAAAATATTGACAGAGATAATTTTAGAAAAAAAATATAACAAGAAAACACAAAAAAATGAAAAAGAAAAAAAACCATGTTAGAAACACCATAGCAATTCACAGTGTTTTGTGATGAAGGCTACAATGCATTCCCCTATGATTTAGCTTTATTTGTAGTAACTTGTAATTGTAATTATTAACTAGCTTAATATTAAAAAAAAATTGATAGAGATAAATTTTTAAAAAATCATAAGAAAAAAACTATATGAAGGCACACTATAACAATCTACAGTGTTTTGTGAGTAAAGGCATAGTGCTTTCCCACATATGATTAAACTTTCTTATAAAGTTAGATTTTAACTAGCTCAATATTAAAAAAATAAAATTAACAAAGATAATTTTGAAAAAAAATACAAAAAAAAGAAAATAAAAAAACTAAAAAAAAACCAAGTGAGAGAAAATTGTATCAATCCATAGTGTTTTATTAAGAAAGTCATAGTGTTTTACCCATATGATTTAGCCTTAGTATTTACTTGTAATTGTAATTCTTAACTAGCTTGATATTTAAAAAATAAAATTGACAAAGATAATTTTAGAAAAAATAAAAAACCCATGTGGAAAAAAACAATGTAGCAATCCATAGCAATTTAAGAGGAAAGCTATAGTGCTTTCCTCATATATTGTAATTATAATTCTTAATCAGCTCAATATTAAAAATAAAATAAAAAAAGATAACTTTGGAGAAAATCATAAGAAAAAAAACATATGGATAAACACTATAGAAATTAATAATGTTTCAAAGAAAAAAAATTACAAAACTAAATTTTTAATTAGCTCAATATTAAAAATATAAAATCAACAAATATAGTTTTAAAAAATAAAAAATCAACTAGAAAAATCATGTGGGAAAACGCCGTAGCAATCTACATTATTTTAAAGGAAAAAATTTGCAAAGTAAAATTTTTAACCAACTCAATATTAAAAAAGTACAATTAACAAAGATAAATTTAGGGGAAAAAACCATAAAAAAATAGGAAAGTACTGTAGAAAAAAAGAAGAAAGTAATACACTGTGAGTGAAAAAAAAAAGTAATATAATGTGGATTACTATTGTAATCTCTAGTGTGATGGGTGTGGGTGAACAATGATTTCCCCACACCCTTTAGCGTTATGAACGAGATGGCACGTCGCGTGCTGCCACAGACTTATAAAATAAATGTAATTGATAGTATTATAATTATGAATCAGCGTTATATAACTAATAGAAACTAAAGGTATGATGGAGCCATTATTTCATGACGAAAAAAAAAGTTGTGTTGGTGATCAAAACATTAGAGACTAAACAAAATAATTTGTAGCAATACACCGTATTTTGCAACGAAAGATATAGTACTTTTGCCACATGATTTATCTTTTATGTTAATAATAAGGAAAAAAATACAAAGCTAAATTCTCTACCAACTTAATATTAAAAAAAAAATTCAACAAAGATAATTTGGAAAGGAAAAAAAACCACGAGGAAAAACATTGTAGCAATTGACAATATTTTGTGAGGAAAACTATAGTAGTTTTTCCAATAACATCGACACAAATATTTTTTGAAAAAATCATAAAAAAGATTATTTTGAGAAATATTGTAGCAATCCATAATATTTTGTGAAGAAACAAACAACGTTTTTCCCATATGATTTAGTTTTATTGTAATTATAATTCTTAACCAACTTAATATTAAAAAAAATCAATGAAGATAATTTTGAAAAAAATCATGTGGGAAAACACTGAAACAATTCTCAGTGTTTTTTTTTTAATTACAAAGTTAAATTCTCAATCAGCTCAATATTAAAAAAAAAATCAACAAAGACAATTTAAAAAAAAACACAAAAAATAAGGGAAAAAACCATATTGAAAATACTATAACAATTCACAATGTTTTGTGATGAAAGCTACAGTGCTTCCCCAATTGATTTAGCTTTATTTGTAATGATTTATAATTATAATTTTCAACCAGCTCAATATTAAAAAAAATAAAATTAACAAAGATAATTTTAAAAAAATCATAAGAAAAAAGTATATAAAGAGACATCGTAGCAGTCCACAGTGTTTTATGTGGAAAGCTACAATGTTTTCCCCATATAATTAACCTTTATTACAAAGTTAAATTATAATCAGCTCAATACTAAAAAAATAAAATTGATAAAGATAATTTTAAAAAATATTATAAAAAATGAAAACACAAAAGAAACTAAAAAAAACCATTTGAGAAAAAACTGTATCAATTCATTGTGTTTTGTGAGGAAAGTTGCATTGTTTTCCCTACATGATTTAGCCTTACTTGTATTTACTTGTAATCATAATTGTTAACCAGTTTAATATTTAAAAAATAAAATTAAAAAAGATAATTTAAAAAAAAATATAAAAACTATGTGAGAAAAAATACTGTAGAAATCCACAGTAATTTGTGAGGAAAGCTATAGTGCTTTTTTCTATATCATAACTATAATTCTTAACTAACTCAATATTAAAAAATAAAATAAAAAGAATAATTTTAGAGAAAATCATAAAAAAACAAAAAACATTATATGAATAAACACTATAGTAATCAGTAATGTTTAAAAGAAAAAAAATTTACAAAACTAAATTATCAATCAGTTCAATATTAAAAAAATAAAATCAACAAATATAATTTTAAAAAATATAAAAAATTTTTTGTGGAAAAACACCACAGCAATCTACAGTATTTTAAAGAAAAAAATATAAATAAAATTTTTAACCAGCTCAATATTAAAAAAATAAAATCAATAATTTTTTTTTTAAAAAGAGAAAATATTGTAAAAAAAGGAGAAGCAATACAATATAAGTGAAAAAAAAATGTAAAAAAAAAAGAAAGGAAAAAGTAATACACTGTATATTATTGTGCACTGTAAGTGGATAAACAGTAAATTTCTTATATTTTTTAGCTTTATGTATAATAAAAGAAAAATATAGCAAATTTGTGTCCACTTTACCATCAAGCTCTAAACTTTTATAGAATAATATGATATTTATTTTTATATTTTAAAAAAATTTATAAAAATTTAAAATTAATTTTTTTAATTTTTTAAAACTATTTTAATATATTAATATTAAAAATAATTTTAATATAATTTCAACTTAAAAAAACTTTATAAATCAATCAAAATATACTCTCATACACGCTATTAATCCTTTAGTAACTCGGCTACTTCGACGACCACCACCATGCCTTCGCGTAAACTTCACCATCAAACTTTTTTCTCCTACAAAACCCTTGGTTTCCTATATTAGAGTCTGTTAATGGCTATAGCTGTTAGAAGAATTGGAGGAGAAAAAAGTTGGTTTTGTCACCTCTACCGTTTTTTCTCTACAAGCACAGAGAACGCTGCCTCCTCTATTTCTGATATTGAAGGAGAGTTCAAAAGCCTTTGCTCTGCAGGACGCATAAAAGAAGCCTTTAAGACATACAATGCAGAAATATGGACGGACCAACATCTATTCTCTTATCTCATCCAATCTTTCATACCCAAAAAGTCCCTCTTGATAGCATTACAACTCCATTCTTTAGCTATCACTTCTGGGTATTACTTCAAAGACAAGTTTGTCAGAAATCACCTGCTGAACATGTACTTTAAAATGGGAAAAATACAAGAAGCTATAGCATTCTTTAATGCAATGCCTATGAGAAACATTATGTCTCATAACATTTTGATAAATGGTCATGTGCAACATGGTGATTTGGAGACTGCGATTAAGGTGTTTGATGAAATGCCTGAAAGAAACGTTGCTACGTGGAATGCAATGGTTTCTGGGTTGATCCAGTTTGAATTTAACGAAAATGGGTTGTTTCTGTTTAGAGAAATGCATGAGTTGGGGTTTTTGGCTGACGAGTTCACTTTAGGTAGTGTACTTAGAGGTTGTGCAGGTCTGAGAGCTTCATATGCAGGAAAGCAGGTTCATGCCTTTGTGTTGAAACATGGGTATGAATTCAATTTGGTTGTTGGGAGTTCTTTGGCTCATATGTATATGAAAAGCGGTAGCTTGGGAGAAGGAGAGAAAGTTATCAAAGCTATGCCGATGCGTAATGTAGTTGCTTGGAATACACTTATTGCAGGTAATGCTCAAAATGGTCACTTTGAGGGAGTTTTGGATTCGTATAATATAATGAAAATGTCTGGCCTCAGGCCAGATAAGATTACGTTGGTGAGTGTAATTAGTTCTTGTGCTGAACTGGCAACTCTTTTTCAGGGTCAACAGATTCATGCTGAAGCGATCAAAGCTGGAGCTAATTCTGCTGTTGCAGTGCTTAGTTCATTGATCAGTATGTATTCTAAGTGTGGGTGTTTGGAAGATTCAATGAAAGCTTTGTTGGACTGTGAACATCCGGATGCTGTTCTGTGGAGCTCGATGATTGCTGCTTATGGATTTCATGGACGAGGAGAGGAAGCTGTTCATTTATTTGAGCAGATGGAGCAAGAAGGTGTGGAGGTAAATGATGTTACTTTCTTAAGCTTGCTTTATGCTTGTAGTCATAACGGATTGAAGGAAAAAGCGATGGGATTTTTCAAGTTGATGGTAGAGAAATATGGATTGAAGCCTAGACTGGAACATTACACTTGTGTGGTTGATCTACTTGGTAGGTCGGGATGTTTGGATGAAGCAGAGGCCATGATAAGATCGATGCCTCTTGAAGCAGATGTTGTGATTTGGAAAACTTTGTTATCTGCATGTAGAATCCACAGAAATGCAGCCATGGCAACAAGGACTGCTGAAGAAATTCTTAGGCTTAATCCTCAGGATTCAGCAACTTATGTCCTCCTGTCAAACATTCATGCTTCTGCTAAGAGGTGGAAGGATGTCTCCAAAGTAAGGACAACAATGAGAGATAGGAAAGTTAAGAAGGAACCAGGAGTAAGCTGGTTGGAAGTAAAGAATCGGGTTTTCCAGTTCTCTATGGGTGACAAATCTCACCCAATGTCAGAGGAGATTGATTTATATTTGAAAGAACTAATGGAGGAGATGAAGTTGCGGGGTTATGTGCCAGATACTGCCACTGTTTTTCATGATACGGACAGTGAAGAGAGAGAAAATAGCTTGGTCAACCACAGTGAGAAGTTGGCTATTGCTTTCGGTTTAATGAACATTCCACCTGGTTCGCCAATAAGAGTAATGAAGAACTTGCGTATCTGCAGTGACTGTCATGTTGCTATCAAGCTCATATCCGACATCAATAACAGAGAAATTATTGTTAGAGATACTAGCAGATTTCACCATTTCAAACATGGGAAATGTTCTTGTGGAGATTACTGGTAATAGACAGTGCTAATGTGGTGGTGACATCATCATTGCTCGGATCTGTGAGAACTAAAACTTGTTATGCTTAAAGAGACATTTGTTCCATCATAGTGTTGCCCCTTTTGTTTCATGGGTTGATGTTATTCAGAGTTATTCCAGTTCTCATATCACTAGATCCGCTGTTCTCATTTACTTGACTGGGAAGCCTCAAGTTTTTGTATGGACTTGCAGGTCAGGTAGCGATCTTGTTGCATACGGCCTCATTCATTTCCGAATTTGTTGGATGATATCCTTTTTTACCAAGCTTATTAGCTTTAGTTGAGGACCAACTTGTCCAGGTTGTTCTATGTTTCAACGCCATTCCTTTGGTTTCCATTTTGTGGATGACGACATACTTGTCAAGAAGTGAAGCAGCTTTCTTAACCTGCAGATATAAAGGAGCACTCGAGTTTTCTTTGAACTTTTTTGTTTCCTCATCTACGGAAGTATATACATGGATGTAGTATTTATTTTGCATGCAGAAAACAGAAAAAAACTTGAAAAATGCTGGATAGTTCTCATTGTCTCTATAAGAATTTGGATGATGGATTATCTTCTGTACAATAGGTCCACATGGTGCCAAAAATGCCCTTGGAAAACGGTGAAAGATGTATAATATGAACAACGTCAGCTTCTGTTCCTCTGAGTTGGTGTGGACACCTTGTACTTCTCCCTTCTTTCCCAGCAATGGATGTTAATGTGGCAAGCCATGCTGGTAATAACTTTTCATGCCTATAAAACTTCAGGTCAAATTACATGTTGTGGTGAACGCATTGAGATTGATTGTGAAGACAGCAATAGCAAAGAACAGTGTGCCCCCACGTTTAAAAGCAATGTTAAAACAAATTCTTACAGAAACAATAATTAGGTTATGCATAGATAGCTGACTGGATCTCAGTATATCATAGAATCTTGATTTGGCAGACTTCTTTATTTTATTGTCTTTTCCAGGACGTGTATTACTGCTTCACAAGTTGGGTTTACCACCTTGTTTCCCTGTGACAGAAATGGTAGACCATGTGTTACTTGTGTAAATGGTTGAATAATTTTGCTGTGCTACTTTTCTTTTTTAGAAAGATTTGATTGACTACATACTGGTAATTACGATGAGTTGAGAAAGCTAAATTTTTATGAAACTGGTTATCCACTTCTATCGCTTCTTCTTTTTTTTTTTTTTAAATAAGAAAAAGGAAGCAAAAGTGGAGATAAGGAAACAAAATTAAGGTTCATACTATTGTTCATGGTATTTCTCCTCTTGGTGCACAGATTCCTCAAAATAAGTCACCATCAAACTGTATAACTTTAAATTTGATTGATGATGAAGTCGAAGGCTTGATGGACACGGCAGGATGCAGGGAGAGAAACCAAGGATACAGCGATGTTGGTGCATAATTTGCATCGAAGAAAGGTAAAGGAGTATATCACATGTTATTCTTTTGCACCTCTTTCTGTCAACCTAGGCTCTTCTTCTATCCCTTGTGTATTCTGTGTATCATCTTTATCAGTTTTGTTCTTCCCCACGGCTTCATTTGCTATGAAAATGTATTAAAATTTAAATTTCAGCCTGAAAATCCCTAGATCCTTCTGTTTGAAGAGTAGCTTTTTTGCCTCTGATACTAGGCCATAAAGTTCATCAAATATGTCACTGGCTCTTTGGGAGGTAAGAATAGTGAAAGTAGTGAGAATATAAAAAGAGATTATAATTTTTTCCCCGTTATTTGGACCTTTGAAAATTAGAGGAAGGAGGAATTATTGAAAATTTTCTCCTGTCAGTATTGAAAACAAACCAAAATAATAAGAAAAATTGTAAATCCATTCAATGATGTGGCCGAATTTCCTTCCCCGTTCTCCCCTCTTCTGGAGATGGTTTTGCTGTTGGACGGGCCAGGAAGGAAACATTTCCTCCATTGTTGATTGTGCCTTCCATTTGCTTTTCCCCCAAGGAGAAAATCAGGTTCCATGCACATTTTATCTCCATCTCAATTTCTCCCCTCCCAAACTCTCTTGAGCATGCGACAGTCAGCACTGAATTTTTCTGATGTCAAATTGTGAGTGGATTCCATAACAGTAATGATGTTTCTCTTGTTCTTTTTTCGAATGTCATTCAGGAGTGCTTTCTGATGTTTTTCAAACAACATGCCAATAAAACTTGCTTTGCATGGGAGAGTTATGGGCAGCCAGGGAGAGTTGCGGGGTGAAGAGCCCTACGCGTGTAATTAACTATTTAGCTATACCTGACAAGCACGATGATAAATGGGGATTTTCTCAAGTTACTGTTCCCCATTCCTCATTCCCCGATAACAGAAGGCAGATGGGCAAAAAGCGGCTTCGATGTAATCTTGGTGTTCTGCGTGACTGCGGATGACATGATGAAATAGCGGATTAGTTCTTCAGGATACACGAGGGAGGGATCTTTATCCAGTAAATGTTGCTGTCTAATCCTAAAAGCATATGATCATGGCTGTGTGTTGACTGGATGGATTTGGAATCGAGCTGCACCCCACTACCCACTAGAAGTGGAAACTGATAAAAAGCGTTGTCTGATACAATTGTTGCGCGATTGGCGATCAATGCATTTTCATGGCTGCAAATTGGTGGATTTGTATGGCCGCCTGGAAGCGTTTGTAAGTGGTCTGAACTGATGAGAGGTCGCCGCTTTCAGTTGCCAGTAGAATCCTAAAGCAATCATCAACCAATGTTATACACTTCTCTTTCGTTCCAAGAGCTGGATAGATGAAAACCTTATGATCTGTCTGAGGCTCTGTCCATCACAATTTTAGCTGGCAAAGGAAATGGAATGTGAAGCATGGCAGATCAAATAATCCGAGCTTAGAGATTTTATTGCAGTGAACTAATTTCAAATCACCTTCAACAACTTGACCATATTGTAGATTTTATATATACAAGGGATGTAATTACACATGTAAAAATAATTGTTTTATGCATTTTCTCGAGCTAATGTTACTTGATATTTTACTATTTATCTTTATTTTCGTTTTCATTCTCTCAATTATTATCTGATATTCGTCACTCGTGATACCCCCTTCCTCGTCTCTTTATCAAATGAGGGACTGGAAAATCAACCTTCAAGGTTAAGAAAATGGAGTTTCTTTTATACTATCATGTCTTTAACAAAAAATCTGTATGACTTAACCTACAGTTTCTTCGTTATCACTCCTTTTACAGATGCAAGCCTTAAATAGTGATTTTGCCAATGGAAAGCAATAAAATAATAAAAAAAAACAAACCACTGGAAGTGATTTTTCATACGCGTGAATTATAAACAAAATTCTGCATCCCAAAAGAGTTCATGATTGTTCTTGCTTCTGTGTTCTTTTTTTTTTTAAATAAAATCCTGGACTGATAGTTTAAAGATTTTGCAAAAACATGTTATCCATTGATTAAAGCATTATATTATTAAATCAAAAATAGTTAATTCAAGTAGTTGGATGCTTATTCCTTTTAAATAAGATGCTGTTCCTTTTAAATAAAATTTTAAGTTTAATCGATGTCCAATGAATTTTCAAGATTTAGAAAAAATATAATCAAGAAATTTTAATCAAACCTAACTAGTGTGGAAGTAAGAAACTTAATTTCTCACATTTAGTCCTTGGGTTATTACTAAACAATAATACATAAACAGCAGTGTCCTAAATCACATGCTCAACCTCTGAGGCTGCTTCTCTATGCCTACTGTTACAGCACTACATTGAACCAACCAATAGCGACATCCATCTGACCAAGAGCTATACCCCGCATTATTTCAGCTGTACAGAGAACTCATGCTACAACCATTCTGTACCTGAGACATCTGTCAAAAGGGAAAGTCATCATGTCCCTTCAACACCTCATGGATGGTGGTGCACCTTCAGCAGTGCTTGATGGAACATGTCGATGAATTGATCATCCTGGCATCAGAACAAATCAGCAAATCAGTGATCTTGTTGCAGATGCTCACCTCTATTTTCTTTTCTTTTTTCTCTAAAGGAGAGTCAATGATTTCAAAATCGCTGAGCATACAAGCAAAGTAGCACCTTTTTTTTTTTTTTAATCTTATCTTATTTATTTATTTACACAAGGCTGTAGTTCTACCCTGTACAGATATTAAAAATACAATCTAGCATTGAATAAGCAAGCAAATGACATGAAGGGAGATGCAAGGATAGGAACAAAAATCAAGTACCTGAGCAAGCATTAGAAGTGCATCACGGACTTCGTCTCTGCTAATAAGAGGTGGAGTAGCAGTAGAGCTAGGAGTAAGAGATGGTGGTGGTGCAGGAGGTGGGAAGGGTTGAAGCATTGGGGTGCCGTATGGTCGTTGCAGATTTAGGGGAGGTTGAAGTGAAGGAGGAGCACTAGGCAGTGGCGAGGAGAGAGGGGGCGCCATCAATGCAGATGAGGAAGAAGGGGGCGTGAAGAATGATGAGGGCTTCACAAGATTAGTGACATGACCGCCACTGCTGATTGGATTGGGAGTGCCATGGACGCTTTTTGAGGTGTTTAAAGATGAAAGAGGAAGAGATGGTATTTGTGGAACTGGTGCAGAAGGCATAACCACATTAGGTGTATGGGAGGATAACAGAATGGTGGGAGAAGGCTGATATTGCTGTCTTGAATTTGTTACAGTAGAAGCAGTACTTCCAATATTCATGGCAGTCTGGAAGAATAATGTTCAAAAACTTCTTAGGCATATAAAAAATAAAGGGTAGGGTAGAGAAAATTTTACAAAATCAGAAAATAAAAGCATAAAAGCAAGCAAGTGGGTTTGTCGGCTTAATTAAAAAAGATTGGAAGCTTCCAAAATATATTTGTTCCAGAAATATCATTTCAGCAAAATCATAACATGGCTTAGTCAGCTATCTCAATTTTTTTCCCTAGTCTGAGTTAGGGTGACCAAAATTATTATAACTCCTACATAATTATCTTTCTTTTTCTAGACAAGGCTGTACCCAAAGATCAGTTTTTATTAAGCAACAGCATCACTTCTGCAAGAGGTTGCTGCAGTGCCTGGTGTCATTACTTGGCACCATATTCAATCCCGGAGTCCATGGAACCAATGATGGGACGCAACAATTAATATGCTTCCTATTTTCTGAGAAAATCAAATCAAGTCCTTAAAATTACATCTAGAAGCATCAGATGCAGCATTCATTCCTGACTAGGGTACATGTTTTGAGGAAAACAGATAAAGATATGTATGTTTATATAAAGAAACATGAACATTGGTTCTAAATTAGTGCTAAACAACAACAACAACAACAACAACAACAACAATACTATGATTCTGACAGCAACAGAAACTCCATCAACAAAATGGGATCACAAATTAGGCAATAGACAATAATGCAAGTGTATTTTCAGGCATTGGATCGATATTTTTCAGTAGGAAAACATACAATCTTGAAATAAGCCAACCATGTACAGCATCTAGCTTATAAATGTCATCCTAAATGACACAAATGGCAGAATTTACAAATATATAATTGGAGAAAAAGTATAAAATCTGAATAGCAGCTTTCTTGTACATGAAAATTGACTCTTAAGTATAAGCAATGGAATAAGGCACTTACACTAAAAAAGTTCTCAAATGAAGAATCTTCAGCACTATCATTGGCAGCAGAGGCAGTTGATGAAGGTTCCAAGGCACCTTCAAACACTGACATATTTGGGACTGCTTCAAGATCCTCAAATTCACTAAGTAATACACAGTTTGTGCAAGCAGTAAGTAAGGTGCAGTACTACAAAACTCAATTTTATCAATCAACGAAAGTAAACATCAAATTGATGATGCAGCATCTGCAATTACACAAATGTAGTTATATTGAGATTTTTAAATTCCAGAGGAAAAATATGCAAATGTACCCATGAGGACAAAACAAACTGAGAAGATATCAGGTAAGTGATCAAGGAGATACACTACTGTTTATATTCATAGAAGAAAATTTTCTATACACAAGCTTGAGGTGTAAAGTTAAAGTAAATGAAAATATCATTTCCTTATTTTACCAACACACAATATTTCTTCATTATTAAAAAAAAATGAAAAGATATCAAGGAAGTAATCATGTCTTCTTCTTTTTTTTTTCTTTTTTTTTTGTTCATAATCAACTATGTTAAGATTGCAATTACCAATTCCAATCAATTCAGGGTTGATTCTTAGTTGAGCTGAATTAAAGGAAAAATTATTCCCATAGAAATGACCGTTCTAACAGCGGTCAGCAGGTCATGCATGTAATTCAAATGAATCAATCATACAACTTATCCAATTACTAATTCTAGATAACTCAATTATAAGAGAACAAAATACCTTTTGCCTGAAGCTACTTTTGGCATTGCAGGAACCTTAGAGTAAGCATTAAGTATCCTGTAAAAAATAATCAAACTCTAATTATTAGATCCAACAAGCTACTAATAATGCAAACACCCAATCATGCACTCACAACCCAAGCTCTAAAGCTTGTCAAGGAATTCATAATATTTAAATCTTAAGTTAAACATAAAACAAAATCTACCTAAATAGTTTTTTCAAGTAAAATTAAATATTATATACCTAGTAAAGAGGTTGGCAACATCCTCACATTCTCGAGGATTGTAAAACCAAATACCATTAACTTCTTGAGATGCATTCCGATACAACAAATAAGGTGCTTGAACTTCATACTCGAAATCCCCTAGCAAATTCTCCACCAAGTTTTCTGTTGACAAAAATGAAAACCAAAAAGATTAAAAAAATTCGCTCCACTAACTCATCAACAACAGCCAAAATGCTCATCAAAATAAACAAACTGAAACCTGTGTTTCGCCGGTTCATTACAATAAACTGAAACCGCGGTTGTGTATTCCTAAATAATAATAATAATAATAACAAAATGAATTAATATAGTAATCACAAAACTTCTAACAAAAAGGAATTATTAAAAAAAGAATACCGTACCTCTTGACTACAAAGAGAGATCCTTCAACATCCTTGCGGCTCTGAAATCAGAAATAATTAAATGAAAAGAGAAAACAAAAAATCAAGCATTTGAAACTAGTAAGAAGTAAGCAAGTACATACCCACTGATTGGTTTCGATATTGAAAGCGTAGAAAGTGACATGCGCTGCTGTGATTAGAATCTCTTCGATAAAAGCATCCATTCGCTGGAGCACAGTGAGATTGAGCATCTTGGTGCTCTGCTGATCCAGATGCGGCATCAATTTCCCTGTCTGTGACATTTCCTTCAAACAAACCCTAATTGAAACGATCAGATTTTCCTTCGATTATCCCGGGAAAAGTTGCTCTAGTTTTCTAACAGTGAGAGAGAGGAGGAGATGCTTGTGTAGCCGTCTTGACAGTGAAGAAAAGAGAGAGGAAGATGCACTCTACTGTCTGTCTAGTTTGTTTTTGCTGCTAATGTCTTGTCTTGAGTGACGCTGTATATATATTTTTTGCAGAGTTGAATTACAAAACTAGCCTTAAGGGATTGGGCTGTTTGCTTCATCCCTGGCTGGGTTGCTAGGAAATATGTGGGGTAGGAGGGTGAGTTACATAAAAGACGCTAAGTGATGTGAGTATCTATAATCGTAAATATTTTAATAAAATCTAATGTTTTTAATAAAATCTAATGTTTTTAATCCTTTTCAATGTGAAAAAAAAATGAATTTTAAATAAAAATTAATTTTTAAAAATACTATAAATTCTCAAAATACTTATATTATATTTTTAAAAAAGATTCTTAAAGAAATAAAATGAAAGTAACAAGGTAATACTAGAAACAACATAATTTAAATTTTATCTCTTCTAAATATATAAATTCAATTTATTTATTAATTGAATTCAAATTAAACCTAAAGTCAAGAACTGATTCCAAACACTTTAATCACCTTATAAGTTAAGGCCTCATTTTTTTTTTTTAAAAAAAAACCCTACTTGTAAGTTAAGGCATAATGAAAAAAGGTTCCTTTTTTAATTTTGAATCTTAGTAGAAACGTTGTACACAAACATGCGATGGTTTATGAAGGGTATTTGGTGTGTCTTTTAAGGAAGTTACAGGATCGAATGGAGGTTGTTCAAAAATATAGTTGTAATTATTTTTTAAAATATTTTTATTTAAAAAATATTAAAATAATATTTTTTTATTTTTAAAATAAATATATTAAAATATCAAAACATTTCAAAAAAATAATAATTTAAAATAAAAATATTTAATTTTTTAAAAAATATTTTTGAAATATAAAAATAAACGTGCATTTAGATATCTCAAAAACATGGCTGCATGATTGTGTGATTTGCCCTTGGTCATGGCTCAAAGATCATGGTTGGGATTTCTACCGGTGGTGGTGAAATCCCTCAATGAGTGAGTTTGGATTTTGCCTCATGAATATGCTAGTTCAATAAAACTCTAGTGGTTGGATATTGCTTGGGAAACAAGATGACATGCTTCCTTAATTCGTAATTGAGTTTGATCTCTATTGAAATCTTGTGTTTTTGTTCCATGTTTCTCGGTGCTTTTGACATTACGTAACATTTTAATGAAATTGTCAAATGATGATGTTGTCTCATGACACAGAACAGAATGATCTTTGTCATTTCAGATTGTCCCAATACAATAAAAAGTTCATACACTTTCATCAAATATCCAGAAAATAAAAAAAAAAAAAAGAGAAAAAAAAATTTCATCAAATATCCAGAAAAAAAAAAAAAAAAAAAGAGAAAAAAAAAAAGGTTCATCGGTCAATCATCATCGTGATCATAACAAGCCACCGGTCAATCATCATCGTGATCATAACAAGCCAGAAGCAAAATCAAGAAAACAGGATCAGTAGCTCTTGATCTGTCAACGCTTTCGGAGAGCTAAAGCAGAAATCACAATTAAAAACAAGAGCAAAACAGCTGCAATGAAGGATGCCACCACAGCCCCGCTGGCTTTCCGGCAAAAATCACCAAATTGTTGGCAGATAGCAAGCCAATTTGCACTTGAGTTTCCATTGTGAGCTAAGTAGACTATGGCTGCAGCAGCCGCTGCGGCAGCCGTGTTTAGAGTTAGGGCGACCTGTAAGCACAGAGAAATATAGTTTTTCATGTCAACATCTGAAAGGAAAACAAAAAACGATAATATTTTATTTAACAGGTGTAAGAAATTACAGTGTCCAAAATAATGAGGAGAAGCCTAGGTCCAGTAGCGTGTGGACGAACAATGGCCACAATGGAGAACGGAAGGGAAAGGACTAGATAGCCAGAAACTATTGCCATTGCAATCACATGGAACCTGCAGTCATTAACAATTGGTTTCAATGATTTGAGCTCAATGCTTCGATACTGCGTAACATCAAATTCATGGCAAAAAACTGTGATGTGGTATCTAACAACGGTAAGCAGATGTTAATCTTGGCACGAGTTAAGGATAAACAAAAGATTAACGTACTGAAAGGTGGGAAGATCATCATAGCTTGCTTGGAACTGGAAGAACTGAGTGAAGAAGGGAAGGGTCTGTTCACTAGTTCCCATGGCGGCAGCGGCAGCTAGAGCAGTCACCACAGCACCTAACCTCAGAACGAGGTCGAAGATAGCAAGCCCCTTCTTGTATCCTCCATTTACATGGGTGGAAGCTGCTATCAGGGGTGCTGTTCCTTTAGCAGCAGCGCTTGTATCAGCAGGAATATCAACTCTAGCAGACATTTTAGCTTGAAGGGCAAGAGAAGAGAGGTTTCAACCTTGTGATGAGAATGGCTAAACCGGATATAGACTCAAAAGCTTGTGATGAGAATGGCTAAACTGGATATAGACTCGAAAGCTTGTGATGGAATAGGCTGTGCAGTGTAGGGCCTTATATATGGAGAGCTAGAGGAGTTGGTTTGTACCATGGGAAATTATCTTAAACAGTAATTTGTTTGCAGGAATAAGGAGTTGTTGCTAACCATTTCCATTTTAGTTAAAGCTTGCTTTTTTATCACTTTTGATTTAAAATCAGAAGAAAGCAGAGGAACAGAAATTGGTTGGTCTCCGGCTCAAGGCAGCAAGTTGACCAAATAATATCAACTGCTCAATTAGTACTTAGTAAAGACTTTCCCCATATAATTTTCTTATTAAACACGTTCTGTACCTTTTGACCACGTTAAGTATTAAGTATTAAGCTAAAATGTGTGGTGGAAAACATTGATTCCCACCTTTTTAGTAATCCACAATTTTATTTTATGTTGCATTTTAACCCTGTTTTGTTATTGATTTTTTAATTTAATTTTTATATAATATATTTATGGGGATTTAAAGTTGATAATTTATTTTAATTTTTTTATATAATTATCATGATATTAAAAAAATATCTCAATATCATATTGGTATTAAATATCATAGCATCATGATATAATTATTTTTTAAAAAGTTTAGTTAAATAAAAAATAATTAAAAAAAAACTAAGTTATTAAACTTTGTAAAGTCAATGACTTAGTTTACGTGTATGGTGAGGTAATTCTGGTTGCTGCGGTTTTCGAGTTTAGCGGAGTATTTTTTTTCTAATTATTATTATTATTAACAAAAAATTTAAAGGGTATAGGGGAAACTATTATTAACTCATACTTATTGCATTATGAATTATAATAGTACTTTATAATGTTTTGTTTTTTTTTAAAAAAATTACAATGTTTTTTTCTTTCAAATTTATTTTTATCTATTTTATCTTTCAATGATTGAAAATTAAGTTTTATAATTTACTTATTTTTATTTTATCTTTTTATAGAGTTAAAGTGGTTTGTATGTTTATTAGGATAACCTAAATTACCCTATTTTATGGATTTGATAAAATGGTTTTTTAATTAAACTTTACTTTGCTATCATTTTTTTTCTCTTACATGGTTAAAAAAATTCTTTTAAAAAAATTATATTATTAAACTTTATAAAATTTATAAACTTATTCATCTATTTATGTAATTCTTTATAAATAAAAAACACTTGAGCTCACTTGCTTAATTTTTTTTTAACAAGTCATTCATTAAAGGTTTTTTTAAATAAAGTAGATGATTCATTAAAATAATTCTGGTCAATATTAGTGACTAGAAAATTGAGATTAGGTTTTGAATTTTTAAAATTTATTTGTCTACATGTTTTCATCTAAATATACTAAGGATAAAAACATTTTAGAGATATTAATAATCCTATTTCCAATCTAAAATGCCTTCTAATAAATCTAAAAACCTAAAATCTAAAATTAAATTGAATAAAAAAATATTTTGAATTCTTATCTATTTTTTCTTGCATTTTTAAAGGTTAATAATTCTATTTTCAATCCTAAAATACTTTGTAGCTCGTTCAAAAATCCAAAATTAAATTGAATAAAAAAATTTTGAATTTTAATATACTCTTTTCTTGCATGTTTAAAGGTTAATAACCTTATTTTCAATTTTAAAATATTTTCTAGCCAATCCAAAAATTTAAAATTTAAAATTAAACTGAATAAAAAAATATTTTAAATTCTAGTCTATTATTTTCTTGTATATTTAAAGGTTATTTATTTTATTTTCAATGTTTTTAAAAACTCAAAAATCAAATTAAATAATTTTAATCTATTTGTTCTTGCATGTTTGAAGTTCAATACCACCTGCGTCGAACTTTCATTTTAAAGACAAAACTATTGATTTCAAAGACAAAATTATTGATATCAAAATTGTTCTTTTTTATGGCTGGAAAGTGATCCAAGCAATTTCTCTTCTTCTTTTTCTGGTAACTTTATTGCTTCTTTCTCAACCTACATGGATTGAAACATCAGAAAAATAAAATTTAAAATCAAAACACAAATACATAAAGCTACAGGGATTAAATATATATAATTTTTTTTAAAAAAAAATAGAGAATAAAATGTAATTATCAGCATAAAAAAACATTATTCCTTAGACAGTATGCTGAGAGAAATACTATCGTGTGGAATTGAGAAACGCGATGCTGTCATAATTTATTAGTGTAATCCTCACCTAATTAATTTTTTATATATAGAAGATTCATAAATTTATCGAAAAGGCCATTTTAATCTTTCATGATACTCGAGATAAACGTTGTGTTGGTGGTTTAAGATTATAATTATGAGGGTTAAATGTTACTTGGATTATGATTTTCTCACCTCTGTCACGTCACGGATGTTCAATATCTCACTAAGCTGTTTTAATAAGACAATTATATTTCAATAACTGAATTAAAAGAATCATATTTAAGATATGTTACGGAATTGGAGGTGAGATCAGAGCTGGACAGGAGTTACTCATCTCGCTGTGCTGAGCATGGTTATATATTTAGCATTTCTGTTTATGCAGAGGGACAGGTCGACGATGATCCATGTTCTTGGTTAGATATTGAAGTCATTTCATTTATTTGCTTTCTTTGACCTTGTGTCTTCAAGTGTTATGTAATTTGTATAATTTTTATAATAAGCAATGATGTTTGAGCTGTTGAGCAGAAAGTATCCTTTGAAAAACAATATATTGATCAAACCTTGCTGCAGCCATGAAGATAACACCAATCTGGTACAGGTAGGAGGCGTACAGTCTGATTTAAGCCAAGATTCAACCAAGTGACACTACACAAATGATTAATCTCATGATTACACAATAACAACGTTGACAATGATAATAAATTAACAATATGAACACCAAACAAGCTCTGCTCTTTCTTCTCTTAATGCCTTCGCAGAGCGAAAGCTGACAGCACAAGCAAAAACACGAAGATGACAACGGTGATGAACGATGCCACCACAGCTCCACTATTTTTCCGGCAGAAATCACCATACTGTAGGCAGATAGCAAGCCAATTTGTGCTCGAGTTGCCATTGTGGGCCAAGTAGACTATGGCAGCGGCTGCAGCACCAGCAGCAGTGTTTAGAGACAGTGCCACCTGCGAGAAAAGGGTAGAGATTTTTCTTGTTAAAATGAGTTGAGGATTTGAGATTTCACTGTGAGATGTTGATTTCACAGCAATAAGAGAGCTTACGTACAGTGTCCAAAATAATGAGCAGGAGCCTTGGTCCAGCAGCATGCGGGCGGACAATAGCCACAATGGAGAATGGAAGTGAAAGGACAAGGTAGCCACCAACTATTGCCATTGCAATGACGAAAAACCTGCAACCATAGATGCCTTAGTTAGAGATCTCCATGCCTTCTAAATGTGTTACCATGTTGATTTCATGCTACGTTTTGTAACTAGCATTATGCCAAAAGGAGACGGTTTTATGTGTAAGAATTCTAAGCGAATTACGCTAAAATTATATTATCCCCTAGCTACTATTTAAAGTAAGAGGTGAAAGCACATACTGAAAAGTGGGAAGATCATCATAGCTAGCTTGGAACTGGAAGGATTGAGTGAAGAATGGAAGAGTTTCATCACTAGTCCCCATGGAAGCGGCAGCTGCTAGAGCAGTCACTATAGCAGCCAGCCTAAGAATCAAGTCGAATATGGCGATTCCCTTCTTGTATCCTCCGTTTTCATTCATGGGAGCAGCTATGAGAGGTGCTTTTCCTTTAGAAACAGAGCTTGACTCTGGCATATCAATTTCTGTTGACCCCTTCATCATTTTTTTTAATCTTTTTAGAGAGTGGAGGACTGGTCAAGTTTGTGATATGAGAAATTAGTGGGTGAGAGACTCGAAGCTGTTGTGATGGAAATGGCTGGATGAATGAACCTTATATAGAGAACTACATAAGAGTTAACCAGAAAAAGTCTATACCTAAAACTAAGAGGAGTTTGTTGCTAACTATATTTCACTTGATCAGGCTCTATAAGAAAGCAAGTAGAATGGTGATGCATGAGCATAGACATCAAGATTAGGTAGTTCTTCTTAAAAAAATTTAAGTCAACCGAACAAATAACACTGACAGCTGATCAATTAACACTTCTTGATTAAAAATGATGGGATCTCCAAGTCATTTGTGTTTGTCAAAGATCTTGATAATCAGCGGTAGCCATAGCGATACTAGAGTCTTTTTTTAATTTGACACTTGTTGTGATATCCTGAGCTATGCCCTGGTTTATTTACATTGAAAAGATGAGAAGAAATGGGGATCTATAAAATACCATAACATAAATTTGAATTAAATACTTAATCTGCCATGACTAATATATAATTTCTTTAAATCACCCAGCCAAACCACACATGCAGCAACCTTTTCATTTGAAGGTACAGATCTTTGCCACCCGCTTCAGATCATTGTTCTTTTTGCCATACCAGGTTATGCAAAAAGCAGGTTAAGATTAGCGTTGTGGTGGTAGGTCAAATTATGGGCCACTTTTGCTGTAAATTCGGTCATCGTTTTGCCAATAATGCCGTGAGCCATGCAGGCCAATGCCCGTGCATGGTTTGGTGACGTGAATCTGAAACTATTATTCATCTATATTTATTGCATTGTAAATTACAATAATAATTTATAGTGTATTTTTTTTCTCTTTATTTTATCTTTTAATATTATATGATTGAAAATTGAATTTATTATTTATTTATTTTAATTTTTTCTTTTTATAAGATTAAAGTGGTTTGCATATTTATTTGGGTAATTCAAAATGTCCTAATTTATGAATTTGGTAGTGTCTTTTTTTAAAAAAAAATTAAACTTTGTTTTGTTATCATTTTTTTTATATAATTAAAAAGATTGTTTCAAAAAAATTATATTATTAAAGTTTATTAAATTCATATAGCTATGCACAAGTTTAACTATTATAGTAGTTCTTTTTTTAAAAAATAAACCTTAGGCTTGCTTGCCTATATTTTTTTAACAAGTCATTTGATAAAGGTTTTTTAAATAGAGTAGATGAAGCATAGTCCATTGAAACAATTTTGCTCAACACTACTGACTAGAAAATGAGATTTAGGTTTTGAAATTTCAAAATTTAATTTTTTACATGTTTTTATTTAAATATACCATGAAAAAAACATTGTAGGGATATCATAACCCTATTTCCAATTCTAAAACATCTTCTAGTCAATCTAAAAATTTAAAATCAAATTAAATAAAAAAATATTTTGAATTATAATCTACTTTTTTCTTATAGTTTTGAAAGTTAATAAACCTATTTTCAATCCTAAAACACTTTGTAGTCAGCCTTAAAATCTAAGATTAAACTTTTTTTTTTTTTTGAATTGTGATATACTTCTTTATTGCATGTTTAAAGGTTAGTAACCTTATTTTCAGTCCTAAAACTTATTTTCAATCCTAAAAAATCTTCTAATCAGTCTAAAAACCCAAAATTAAACTGAATAAAAAAATATTTTGAATTATGATATACCTTTTTCTTACATTATTACCAAAAAATAGGTGAAAACCAATAAAATTACTCGACATACATAATTCCATCTCTAATTTTGTTATCATGTACCAACAAACCATTTTTGTCGGCAATACAATCGGTATATACCAACGGAAGTATTCTGTAGGTATATATACTTTCGTTCGTATATACCGATCGTATTGCCAACGGATTATATATATTTTTGAAAAGTTGCAATGGTGTGATGATGTGAATTTTTTTCAGATGATTTTATCGATGGAATAACCAAGGGATTCAAACCAGGATCTCTATACAGTAACGTGGCATAGTCACCGGAGGATTTATCAACGAGTATACCGATGGAACATTTATGTCAGTGATTCCATCGGTGCAAGCCAATATATACCCACTCTGCCGGCTCTCTCTTCCTCTATTTTTTCCTTCTTCCTCGTCCTAACTTTCCCCTCCCAAACTACAGCCAACCACCTATCTCAACTATCTTCCTCTTCTCAACACAAGCATTCAAGTTTCTTATACTTTTGTTCGTGGCCATAACATCCATTCTCCGTATAATTTATTGTGGATTTTATTATTTTTTTATATATAAATCTATCCTTTTTGGTTTTAACATTTAAATGTCAATTTTTTTTTTTTTTATTTTTTTAGTATATGTATTTTTTTAATATATGTCCTTGTTTGATTGTTATTTGTCAAAGAAACTTGTAGTATGAATGTATAATTTTGTAGTTGGTTAACATATGTAGTTGTGTATAACATGTGGGCATTCCCATTACAAACCCAGAATTGGTAGGAAAAGAGTCTTGGGGTATATAAAAAATTTAGATACTTCCCGATCATACTTAGACTGCAAAGGTTATTCATGTTACCAAGGACTGCTAAGTACATGACATGACACCAATCACATCATGCAATTAATGGAGTGATGGTGCATCCTTCTGACGGCGAAGCATGGAAACACTTTAACATTGTGCATCCTCACTTTTCAATTGAATCAAGGAATGTGCATCTTTGGTTATATATAAACAAATTATATCCATTCCGGTTATTTGCTGCTTTTTATTTTTGTTAGCTAGTCATATTAACCGTTTATAACTTGCCATCAAGGATGTGTATAAGGCTGGAGTTCATGTTTTTATCTATGATCATATCAAGTCTGAGCAGTCGGCGGAATATAGATGTTTATCTTTGATCGTTGATCGATGAGGTGATGTAGTTGTGGTCCTCTAAAGCTTTGACTTATGATATCTCAAGGAAATAGAATTTTGTTTTGAGAGTGGTTTAAAATGTGGACTATCAATGATTTCTCATCCTATAGAATGGTTTCTGGTTGGAGCACGCATGAAAAACTAGCATGTTCATACTGTATGAAAAACAATAAGGCATCACGCTAACATAAAGGGGTAAAGCTTTTTTTTTTTACTATCATCATCATTTTTACCACTAAATCATAGGTACAGAAAGAATAGAAGTGATTTCTTTGCTGGCAGAGTTGAAAATGATGTTGTACCCTTATGTCTTTTTGGTGAAGAATTGCATGATGTTATATTAGAGTATGGTGACATTGTGTTTAATCTCTAATCAGGTATGTAGAAGTTTCCTACTTTTGATTTGACCCATAATTGGGTAAAGCGAAGTGTCTTTTAGGAGCTTTCTTATTGAAAAACCAATCTTCTTTGCCAAAACTTTGACGTCATGCACATTGAAAAAACAACATCAAGGCTAGATTAAATTTAACGTTGTTCAATATCATAAAAATATGAAGTTGGTTTGTGATACATCACGGGTCATAAAATTAAGAGCAAGCTTGGTGTTAAAGAAAAACACATAACTACTAGTCTACAAATGGCTTAAAAGTTCGTGTTTTCCTGATGGACATGCCTCGAACATATCAAGGCTAGTTAATACGGAGAAATGCAAATTATATAAAATGGAGTCATGATTGCCATGTGTTTATACAAACACTCTTCTCATTAGCTTTTTATTATTTGTTTACAAAGGGGATATAGGATGCAATCACGGAGACCCGTAATTTTCTTCAGAGATATATGTTCTAGTAAGTTAAATGTTGATCATATTGAAATACTTGAAATGAATATCACCAAGACAATATGCAAATTTGAGATGATATTCCCTCCATCATTTTTTTTGACTTAATGGAGCATTTACCCATACATTTATCGTTTGAGGTAAAAGTTGGAGAATCGGTCCCGAATAGATGGAGGTATTCATTCAAGAGATTAGATATTACAGTTGCTATGTAATTCATAATTAAACATTTTTTTTATTTTTAGTTGATAATTTTTTTTTAATTCTATATGTGTGTTCACTATTTAAAAAAGGTTAAGAATAAAGTACATGTTAAGTTGTTAATATATGAAGCCTATATTATTGAGGAGATCTCAACATTTATCTTATACTATTTCAAACCACATTTCAGAACAAGGATCAACCATGTTCCACGGCATGATAATGGTGATGAAGTGTGATTAGTACTTAAAGTGTATTTTTATCAAGGTTTTATATCATTATTTTGCATTTGAAGTATCAATAACTCCTTAACTAAAATATGTTTTATAATAACATATCTAATAATATAAGATACCTTTAATTTATGGTAAATATTCATTTTAAATATAGGTCTATCACATAAATAAAAAGATTGATTGATGAGT